TCATCTTCGCTATGATGACAATATTTTACTAGATATTTTGCAAGACACTAGTATGTGGCTTAAAGTGCAATTTAAAGTCTTAATTATGTCAATTAGGCAAGTTAGGATAAATAGATAAGTTACTGTATAACAATTGTTTGTTCTGTAGACAATTAAAATATATATTAATAATATCAACCTTATAATGCTTAAAACATTTAAAAATGCTTGTCTTCTAGCTGAAACAAATCAAATAAGACTTTCTCCAGAAGAAAAATACTGTGACACACTGTGGAAAATTCAACATTGGTTGAAATATTTGACAAATAAAGCAAAAGAAGGGCTAATAATTCTGACATCAACTGTAAATAATAAATGCATGTACTGATTCCATGTTTTCCTATACCTTACAGGCAAAAAATACCATGACAACCTTGGATATACAGTAAGAAGCACAGATGTTTTTGAAGTTAAATCGTAGAGCACATTTATAGGTAACAGATTAAATTAGGCAATGGGCTCTTAATCTGAGTGGGAGTTCGCAATCGTCTAGCAATAACAAGATGAGTGGAGGGGATGAGTGCAGAGAAGGGGAGTGAAAGTGAGAAGATGAGGAAAACAAGGGACGAGAGGGGTGTACGGATAACGGCCTACACACTGGGAGCCGTTTACCCTCCCTGACGTTCAATAGCAGAGTAAAAAAACAAAAAAAAAACTGTTGAATTATGTCAGCAGCTGTGAAGTCTATAAAATGGACTAATACTTGTCTGTTTCCACAATAGCCAGTCTGCACTGAACACCGGTGCAGAGGCCTAAGCCATGGGATAATGGAAAGAAAATAGCGGACATTTTTGTGGCGGCCCACAGAAACCAGGGCCGCGCAATAAAGACAGGCGAGATCACTAGTAAAGTGTACGCGCATTGAAATAAGGGAAGGATGCAGCCAACTCTGCCACATGGGAGGGAAGGACCTGGGGTCTGGCAACCCTCCCTTATGATCTGTGAACTGGCAACCGGCTGTTCTCTGACTGCTGGAGCTCAACTGATGTGTATGAAAAATGAGAGTGATGATAAATTAGTGCTAATCTGAGAGTCATTTGCACTAATGAGGTCATCCCACTGTTTTCTTTCTCTTGACAAGCAAAAGCAGAACAACAGGAGAAGAAATGTTAAGGTCATTTGGTCACACTGTATTTTAAGGTACCGTTTTTATTATTATGAAGACTTTTAACTTAACACATTAAATGGCTGCTTATTAACGGTCATTAGTAGCAATAGCAGTGGTAAGTAGTTATGACTTGGTATTAGGATTAGGGATGTAGAATTATTCAGAATATATGCTTTAAATAAATAGCTAATATCTTAATTCTGTACAACAGGAGAGGAAATGTTAAGGTCATTTGGTCACAATGTATTTTAAGGTACAGTTTTCCTTATTATGAAGACTATTAACTTAATAAGATATTAAATGACTGCTTATTAACGGTCATTAGTAGCAGTAGCAGTAGTTAGTAGTTATGACTTGGAATTAGGATTAGGAATGTAGAATTATTCAGAATATGTGCTTTAAATGAACAGCCAATATCTTAATACTAGGGGTATAACGATTTATCGTTGTACGATTTATTGCGATGCAAAAATGTCACAATATGCATTGTGGCGTTATGACGATTTGATTACGATATGACGTCCGTTTATTCTTATTAGTTGAGCTGTTTGCACCTTTACTTAAATTGTTCCTTAATTTTGTCTCTGTCATTTCAATAATATTTTTTAAGAAGTTTTTAAATTGTTTTATTTTCCAGAGACAGGCCTGTTTAATTTATTTTCTTAAAGAAGGTACAGTTTAACAAGTTGAAACAAAAGAAATACATAAAAAATAGTTTACTTGGTAAAATTTGCATTTCAGTTTAATTTTCAATTTTTATTCCAAATATCGTGATACATATCGAATCGTGAACATTATATCGTGATACACATCGTATCGTGAGCTGAGTGTATCGTTACACCCCTACTTAATACTACTACTAATAATACATTTTCTTTTAAAGCACATTTCTGGCAACTTCAGGACACCATACAATAACGAGCAACAAAACAACAAAATAAAATAATAAAATGTATACACAACATTAGTTCAGATACAAATAAGTGATAAAAGCCACCATAAATAAGTGAGTTTTAAGTCTTGTTTTGAATAATGTAATAGAATCATTAATCCACTTTAAACTAAAGTGGAGTGTTGGGTAAATTACTTCAAAAAAATTAATAATTACAAATTAATTGTAATGCAATAATGTGAACTTTTTGCAAAGCTGCTTTAAAACAATAATTATTGCAAAAGCAATATACAGATAAACTTGAATTTTTAGGATTTTTACATCCTTAAAATCATATTTAAATAGTTTTTCTATTTACTTTATCTGAAAACTAGCTTAATTTCTCAATAAGCAATTGAATTAGTTGACTTAATACTATTTAAAATCTATAAAACTCTCAAGCATTTGCAATCATACTGAAAAAAATCTACATTTCTATGGTTGAAAAACAGAATTCATCTGTAAAAATACAATTAAACTATTTCTCTGGATTTATTTATTCAGAACTGTTACATGAATGTACAGAATTTAAGACGAATAGATTATAAGGTTCCGTTTAAAGAGTTGGTTTCACTAAATGCTTTTAAAAAGATTTTAAATGTTAATGTTACCTGTTATTTGTTTTTGTTTGTTTATTTGTTAAACCAATTTGAACTGTATACTGCCTAATATTGACCAGGATGCTCTTGTAAAAGAGATTTTTAATCTTAATGTGCTATTCTTGGTAAAATAAAGGTCATTATAATATAATAACAAACATAATAATAATAATATTAATAATAATCATCATAATAATAATAACCTGAAAATAAAAAGTATTTTACATTTATTTAGTAGAAATAGAAAATTATTTTAATTAAGGTAATTAGATAATTTGTAAATATTTACATTACATACAGTATTTATCTTTTATGTCAAGTATTTCAATCTAGAGTAATGAAGTTTGCTCTGCGCGCTCGCTGTTTTGAAAGAAACCTTATTGGTGCCTTAATCTTGTAAATACTATTGCTCAAAAAGGTAATGATTTGCACTCATCAAGTAATTGCTTAGTACTGTTTTTATTTTTACATTCTTCTTTACAGTATTAAAATAAAAACATGTATTACCTGCTCTAATCGTAATGTAGTCTACATGTTAAATTGTCCGTGCCAAAAATAGACTTAGGTAAGTCTTCAAACCAGTTGAAGTTACGAATTAGCGAACATAAATCAAGTATACGACGACAAGACATAACTTACATGACGTTAAACAACTAGAATGCATAGGAATCGAAGAAGTGTCTGAGTCACATAGAAGAGGTAAACTAAATAAAAGTTTATTACAAAGAGAAGCGTTCTGGATTCATAAATTAAAATCACTTACATCAAGAGGAATGAATGAGGAGTTGGACCTTTAAGTGTTTCTTTAACAGTTTGTTGTTTAGCTATAATATTATGAATCAAGGATTTTGAAATTGTAATGACACAAATAATTAGATGAAATTATTTTTTAAATGTTTTAGGACTGTCGGAATTTCACTGTATTGACGTAGACATGCATAAGTGAATGATGAAAATTGATATGCTATTTTCCTGTAAAATAATGTTTTTGAAGGTACAGTAAAGGTATTTCTCGTGTGGTTGATTATGATATATTGACTTGGTAATCATAGAGTAGCCGTCTAGATAATTAACACAATATCACAAATGTATTTCTTAATGTTTAGGACTGTCGGAATTTCATTGTATTAATGTAAATATGCTATTTTACTTGTGAAATTATGTTTTTGAAGGTAGGGTAAATATTTCTTGTGTGGTTATGTGTGTTGAGATGAAGGTAAGATTGTACTTAATCATCGAGTGACTGTCAAATGTCTTTTTAATATTTTGGACTGTCGGATTTTCATTGTATTGATGTGCACATAAGCAAATGCGGATAATTGATATGCTATCTTTTTGTGAAATAATGTTTTAAATATGACGGTAAATAGTCCTTATGTGCTTAATCATGGAATAATGAAATAAAAATGAGATTTTTGATCATAGAGTGGCCGTCTAACCAATGACGCAATGTGATTAATTATGGGATGAAAGGGTAGAGAAAGAGGATTGTGTCACACACTGAGGAAGGCGTTGTGCCGAAACGTTTGTGTTTTTTTATCACCTGTAGAATGTAAATATAAAAACAGTCTGAAGCAATTACTTGACGAGTACCAATCATTACCTTTTTGAACAAAAGTATTTCAATTTAACCATTAGTTATAATAATCAGAATACTCTGGTGTTTTCTAAGGTGTTTTCTGACGACCCTAAATGCTTCTGATTGGCCACAGCAGTTCATGAGCTCAACAGAAACACATCTGATTGATTGTGATGTGGCATAAATCAATACATTAAAGAAACAACTAAAAGTAGAAATGTTTTTTCCTGTATCTTTTCAAACACTAAAATAATAATTGATGCATTTCAATCCAGTGGATGGCGAAGTCACAAAATATGCTAAATTATGCATGATGTCACCGTTTTCACAAAATCATGCTTTTGTAGACAGTAATGGTTTCGTTTCAAGAATTTGCATTTATAAAAGGATTCATAACCCCCAAAACATCATTGTAGGTTAAATGAATGGCCAAAATGCATAAAACATTTGTTTTTTTAAATTAATTAAAATGATGTTGTGTAAATGTCTACTAAATGTAACACCTGAATACTTTTTTTTTTAATGAATTTCTTTAATTATTAGTTTCAGATTGGAGTCATGACTGCTATTACCGATTAAACTGAACCACAAAAGAGCATTATTTGCCACCATATCCTGAAATTGTAAGGCATTTACGTTAATGTTGGTGTCCTTTTTTACCTCAAGCACTTGTTTATTTACAACCTAGCACACACAAACAGGATATCAAGTCATTGTAAAACCCAACAAACATACATAACATACCTGTTTTATTCAAGTGGAAAATATTATTCGATGTCAGCAGCGGAGTATCTGGCTGAACATAAGAATTGCTGAAACCCAGGTTTGAAAAAGACTTGTCCCATTTCCACCATATGTCTTGTACTATGAAACAAACAAACAAACAAACAAACAAATATATATTCAATTAAACCATTAAAATAAATTTTTTGTGAAATTGTAAAAATCAATATTAGTGTATTTTAACTGAATACAAATGTTTATCACTTTATGCAGTGTTAACAATGTTAATTTGACAATTTCTGTAATAGTACCAAAGAGCATAGAATCACTAAAAGGCGACAATCTAGTGCGATTTGGGAAACAGCCACTAGATGCCGCTCGTGTCACGCAGTGGCCATTTTGGTATGTAAATTCCTTTAGAACAACAGCATATTATAAGTCTGTAAAATATACTATGAAAAGTGCTGATGAAGTGTTGTATTGTTGTCTTTCAGGTTGTATCTCAGCTTTAATGCGCTTTTTAACTAAATAAATAAATAAAAAACAAAGCAGCTGTTTGCCATCGCAACAGCAATCAGATCGCTTTCACTCTAAAATGGCGGAATCGCAGGGCTGTTGCTGGGTGCTGCTGTTGCAATGGAACGTTCTATTGATTGTCGCCTCTTTGTGATTCTAAGCTCTTTTATAGTACTAATAAACTGTTTTAAAATTGACAAAAAAGATGCAATGTATATATTTATCATCAGTCAATCCCATTTGCTTAAAATCATACATTCATCTTTCAACTGAAAATTGCGTGTTCAACAGCTACTTCAATTTTAGTCATGTGTTCAATGTTTTCAATTCGAACTATGACAATGGCATCTATCCATCTATGTATGTGTGCAAATGCTCCTTATCCTCTCCTAAAGATCAACATCGACCATTAAATTAATCTAATTCAAGTGTTTGTGTTGGAGAGAGAAATATTACTCACAAATATCAATATACACTTTTTCTGTTGTTGTGAAAATCTATTATATACGTATATAGCATATTTTATCAGATGATTTAATATTACATTTGTGTATATAATGTACATTAGATTAGCCAATGGCAAGGCCAGAAAAAATAAAGAGAAACCTAAAAGGTATTTTTGTAGTTTGTAATTTGTTTTGCAATAACTCATTTGAATTAAAGTGTATTATCTTTCTATACACAATGATGTTCAGTGATCAAACTGTTATTTTAATACCATTTTACAGTTTAATAAAACTGTTATGTTTAAATACACCTACATATATTGGCTATATTCACTGAGAAATTAATAGAAATATTCATTTTCAAAAGACTAATGTACTCATTTATGCTAAGCACTGTATATAGTATGTCTATATCTAAGACGATACAATTTAAATGTTATTATCTCGAATCGCGATAAAATGAGTCAATAACAGTGACAAGCTCTGGACTTTTTTTATTCGATATCGATCTAAGAGCCAATCACAGAGCAGAAATGTGCAACAATGGGAATCTAAAAGTGTGTTGATATTAGAGACGTACTGAATTTTTAGCCACTGAAAATTTATCGACCAAAATGTTATGCCATTTAATGGACCTTCTAATTTTTGTGGCTTAAGTCATTGTAGGGGGACTTTTGATTCTGGAAGCATTGACAATTGATAACGAAATATATATCGTCATCGTTCAATATGGAAAATAATTATCAAGATTACATTTATTGAAAGCATTTCTGTGTGGAGTTAGCGTGGGTTTCCTCCGTGTGCTCCGGATTCCCCCACAATCCAAAGACATGCGGAACAGGTGAATTGGGTAGGCTAAATTGTCTATAGTGTATGAGTTTGTATGGATGTTTCCCAGAGATGGATTGCAGCTGGAAGGGCATCCGCTACGTAAAACATGTGCTGGATAAGATGGCGGTTGATTCCGCTGTGGCGACCTCGGATTAATAAAGGGACTAAGCCAAAAAGAAAATGAATGAATAAATGAACTATTATTGCCCAGCCCTGTCTGTATCTACATATATTTGTACAAAACACACAAACACATACACACATCACACATTACATAAACACTTAAAATATGTAAATGTGAAATAAAATAAAGAAAAATTACATTAGTCATCATTTCTTAAATCAAATCATTTAACCATACCAAAAACAACCTCAACATAACAATACAGGTTTTTCCAAATCAACTTGTAATGACTCCATTATGTTGTGTTCATACACCCTTCAGCCTAGTCTTCATAGCAGACGTACTGTAGACTATCAGTGAGGTCATCTGTGCACCCACAAAGCTTCTGCTAAACTCATTTTTACACTGTCCATGTAGGAAACATCACCCAAATCGCTTTGCACTGAGTGATCAATCGCCACTAACGGGGAATGTTCGCTTTGCAATCTGGACAGTGTGTATGTGTGTGTTTGGTGCCTGAGACAGCATCCATAGCTTTCAAATAATGGGTGGCTGAGTGTGTGTGTGTGTGTCTGTGTGTGTGCGTGGGGGTTTGTCCATGATTTATCAATGTGGGATTTTTAACCACATGAGCTCATTTCTAGCTCCTCCACCCACTGCAGTGCCACCGACACACACACACACACACACACACACACACACACACACACTGTCCGGCCCAAGGACAATGAGGTGAGGTTATCAAGGAGAGGAGACGGGCCTCAAACAATTAATATGACTATTATGGTTATTCAAACAGAAACAATGTGCATTGACTGACCGGTTGCAGACACATATGGTCTCGCATACAACGCTGATGACAAATGCTGATCGAAAGATTTCGAGACAATTAAAAGCCCAACCATTTATGCCCTAATTTGTTTAGATCTGTCAAGAGGGAAGGGAGTGTCCCGCGCAAGAAGACATCAAGTGGCGCAAACACCAATGCTTTTGCCATTCATAATTTATTGGCCTCATCATAAACAAAACGGCCAGTTATTCAGAACAATAAAGAACTATCGCAGTTTTTAATAATAGTTTGAGGTAGGTTTAATTCTTATTTTTTGTTCATTTTAGTTTAGTTTTTTCTTTTTTATAGTAGCAGCTAAAATAAAATTACCTTTTTTATAATAGTTTTTTTAATAGTAGTACTCCATAATAAGTCTATATTTTTGAGTGTTTATGAGACAATGGTCTGCAAATGACATTGGGAATTGGAAAAAAATAAAATTAAGAATTTATTTAAAATATTATTAAGCATTATTTGAGTAATTGCTAATTATTAATGCATCTAAACAAGGTTTTCCACACAAGTATCTCAGTTTCGTTTTAATTGCTTCAGAAATACAGCTATTACTTCCATGTCAAATTCAAAATAATGTATTACAATTATAGAGGGGCGAGGCAGTGGCGCAGTAGGGAGTGCTGTCACCTCACAGCAAGAAAGTCGCTGGGTTGCTGGTTCGAACCTCGGCTCAGTTGGCGTTTGCATGTTCTCCCTGCCTCCGGGTGCTCTGGTTTTCCCCACAGTCCAAAGACATGTGGTACAGGTGAATTGGGTAGGCTAAATTGTCCGTAGTGTATGAGTGTGTGTGTGTGAATGTTTCCCAGAGATGGGTTGCGGCTGGAAGGGTATCCGCTGCATAAAAACTTGTTGGATAAGTTGGCGGTTCATTCCGCTGTGGCGACCCCGGATTAATAAAGGGACTAAGCCGACAAGAAAATGGATGGATGAATGAATGAATTATAGAGGAAAAAGTTACTCTGAGTTTGAGTTATGAATTTAAATGCAACAAAAAGCTGAATGTAGTTCAAATTTTTTAACTATTTAACAGGGGCGATTTTAGGATTTCCATTTTAGGGGGGCTCACCTCTCTCATCAGTATATCTTTATATACAGGTGAAGTCAGAGTTATTAGCCCCCCTGTTTATTTTTTCCTTCAATTTCCGCTTAACGAATAGTAGATTTTTTTCAACACATTTCTAAACACAATAGTTTTAATAACTCATTTCTAAAAACTGTTCAAGACACCTTTAAACAGCTTAAAGTGACATGTAAAGGCTTAACTAGGTTAATTAGGTTAACTAAGCAGGTTAGGGTAATTATGCAAGTTATTGTATAACGATGCTTTGTTCTGTAGACAGAACAATAAAAAAAAATCTAAAAAATATATATAGAATAAAGGAGCTAATAATTTTGAGCTTAAAATGGTGTTTAAAAAAATTAAAAACTTAAAAAAAAGCTTTTATTTAAGATGAAATAAAGCAAATAAGACTTTCTCCAGAAGAAAAAATATTATCAAACATACTGTGAAAATTTCTTTGCTCTGTTAAACATCAAATGGAAAATATTTTTAAAAAAGAAAACAAATTCAAAGGGTGTTTAATAATTCTTATTTTAACTGTATAATCAATAATATAATCTATAATCAAATATTTAATCTATGATTTCCCTAGCACAGTAGGTTCTAGCATATTTCTTCATAAAATAATACACCAAATGTAATTTCTTTTTAAATGGGAGTAGGTGACGTACAGTATCATGCAAAACACCACCCTTATCAATCAGAAAACATGCAAATGAACATGTTGAAGATAACCAAATCAGCATCTCTTAAACTGTGAGCACTATAACAAAAATGAAAACTGTTTTAATTTAAGCATCATATCTATCAAAGATATCAAAACTTCACAATAAATAAACTGTTCAACTTCATAATGTATTCAAGGGAGCAGTGACTTCATATGGGAGAGATTTACAAATTAATTTCCAAAATGCAGCAGCAAAAAAACTCTTTCTAGAAACCAACAACTATCTTCAGACGGTTCGCCAAACTCTCACACAGAGGCGGTTTACAAATGTCCCTTTCGCTTTTTTCAGACGTCAGTCAGTCATGTGATAAATGTAACGTCACATCTTCCTGGTGAATGAGAAAAAGAATGAATGAAAAGGCCTGTGTTTCATTTATCCCACAAACGCATTCAATTCTCCACATTTACAAACAGCCTTTGTCCGCATTTTAGTACAAAAAATGTTAACACTGAATAAAAAAAATGGCAGCGAAGACATCATGATCTGAAGCCCACGTGCTGAACATCAGTACAGCCTCACCTTTAGCACATAAACAGGCACGTCTGCACACATTTACACCTGTCACTTCACCCGTATGAATGGGTTGTTTCCT